TGGGGGTGCTCTAGGGGGCAAGCTGGGAGGGCTGGGGCGGGTCTCACCAGCAGCTGCTGCGGGATCAGCTGCATGATCAGCTTCTGCGGCCACTGGTCAGTCTCCCTGTGGGAGGAGAGGGTCAGGGAAGGCCTCGGACCCCTAGCTGCCTGCCTGCCAACCTGCCCGCCCGCCCACCTGTGGGCACTCACAGGTTCTCTCCCTGGTTCACGTAGGCCTGGCAGGGGAGGGTCCGCTTCAGCTTTGCGTTGGAGTCAGAATAGGGTCTGCGCTTCTGTGGCGGGAGCGAGAATCTCAGTGATAGCTCAGGTGCCCAGGCCTGCCCCCCACCTGAAGAGGCAGACAGGAACTGGTGGGACACCCCCAGCCCTAACAGGGACTCACATGGGGCCCTGACAAGGACCGCTCACCTCCTGCCACTCGAGGACGCCGCTCCAGGCAAGTAGCTTGTTGCTGAGCCGGTGCTCGCCTACCGCCAGGCCCCCAAGGGCAAGACCAGGTGAAGAGGGCCCAATGGGACCCAGGGCCCCGAAGACCCGAGCACCTTGCTGTGGAAGAGGAGGGGACAGCCTGGGCCAACTACAAGGGCAGGCTGTCTCCCACATACCCCAGAGGGGCCATCCCAATGTTCAGATGCAAACTTCCTGCTCAGGAACACCCAAGAACACGTCCAAACCTCTTGTCCCAGGGTTCAAGGGCCTGCCTGGCTGATCCTATCCTTTCCATCCCCCCACAGCCCACTTTAATATCAGCCCATGCAAGGTCCCTAGAAGCCACCAGCCCGCTTCCCCCTCTAGCCTTTGCTCTAGCTGAGCTCTCGGCCTGGAATACCATCCCACCCCAGCCCCCCTCAGGAGGAGCCACCCACTCACCCTCGCAGCCTGATCAAGACTTGGCCCCTCTATTAAGACCCAACTTAGAAGCCAGCTCCCTGGGCTCAGGGTCTCCCTGAAGCCACTGCAATGCACAAGCCAGCCTGGGCTGTGTCTATCTATCTGGCACGCTGGTTTGCTCCGTCCCACCCAGGGCCAAAGCCCTTCCTTCCAAGGCTGGTCATGACTGTCAAGAGAAAGTGCAAACTCTCCCCTCTGGCTCCTGCCAGCCTCTCTAGGTGGCTGCCGGCCCTCCCTCCCT